ACAATAGTTTGAAATGATTTCCTACTCACTTCACTTCAACGCAAAACTTTTACGGTCTATGCAACATGAGAATAGACGAACCCATTGATGTAATCTACAATGTGAAAATGCATTTGCAGCCTCGTAGTCCAAACAATCTTTGAGTCAATATTTATTTCCAAATTCTGTAAAGCCAATAGATTGATTAAGCAAAAAGTATGACTGTTTCATAAATCAAATAGTCGAGATAATAGTTTTTATGTTAAAGTACAATGTGGGTGGTGTAAAGAGTTATACTTTGTTTTAGGTTTCGTAAATAACTGTACAGCAATTTGGGAAAGTTGGGCAAGCAATTTGGGCAGTACCAACTATGATCATTTTCTTAATTTAGGCTATATTAATTCTGGAAATACAGAATACTAAAATCAAAATTTTGAATCGTACTAAAACATGTAAACAATTGTTATCAGAAACTTGTCTTAACCCAGTGTTTGCAAAGTATATATTACATATAAATTTATCTTGACAAATTCCTCTTGACTAGATTAAATATATAGGAATAATATTTTAAAAGTAAGCTTATTGAACATTATCTAGCCAATTATTGCACTGAATTAAACATCCCATTTTAATATAAGCAAGCTTTTTAATTAGTTTTACAACCAACGGCTTGGTTTTCCAGTAAACGTGTGCCAGTGATAATCAAATACAACTAAATATTAATATATGTTTTTAAAAGACTGAATAAATAAGTAGTTTGAGGGAGTGTTTATATTCAATTGATATACTTATACGGCTATGTTAGTTTAGACCAAGCAAGTCTGATGATGATTTATTGTATATGCTTGTAAATACCTACACAACAAAATAAAACAGGAATATGAGAAAACATCTCTAAATTTCATGTTCCAGCCTATAATGCTATTCCTTCTACAATAGGTCGATCATTCATCTTTGGCTAGATATAACGGAATAGGTGAAAACTGAGACAAGCGTACATTACTAAATGTTTAACAAACATAACATAAAAAACTAGAGAATCCCTCTCAACCGTTCTTACATTGCCAAATGTTTAATTAACTCATCTATTTTCAACCTAACCTTTGACCAAACACTCTACATTTTCTTTGATCAACCACAAGCCTCTAAATCTAATCTTCGGCAACAATTCTTTACTTGACCAAGTTTGATCAACAACACAATGTTTTGTTTGATCAACTACACTTATCATCTGATCAACAGATACTGATTGTTGATAACAATATTTTTAACAACTCCTAAGTGACTGTACTCCCTTTTGCAATACGGTTAAGAGGACTTCCATGGAAACTAAAAAAAGGTAATCAATAAACAAGCATTCCAACTATAATTAAAGATCAAATAGCTTAATTTATTATTATATAGGGGGTTTCAGAACGATCTAAAACGTGGGTAAAAGCATAAAATTTTTATTTATTCTGACTTTTAACTTTATTCAGCGGTCTTAACCAATTTTCTATTATTAGATTTGTAATCTAATTGTTTATAAAGATGATTTTTCAATTTATTTGATTTCCATCTTTATTTTTTATCCTATTGAAATCGCAATCGTTTAAATTTATAAATGAATTACACTTTTAATTTTGATGTCATCAATATTTGTAAAAAAGTAAGAGTCATGATTGTGCAACAGCTGAAATATTATACTACAATTAAATAAACAAATTTAAATACATACTCATATAAGTAGAAAACCAAATTCAACATTATTCTATTATTTGTATTTGGTTTTAACCTAGAAACAATGTTCAAAACATTAATAGAAAATTCTGAAACACCCTGTACATGATAGAGAGAATATAACCTTAATACAAAACAACTTAAGTACAATACTAATTTTGATTTTAGCTTAAATAATCATATTTTGATTTAATTTCATCCTAAAAGTAGAGGAATATTTTAACTAAACATTAGTATACATCTATTAAACTGTACACATAGAACTTTTAGTTCAGGAACATATAACTTACTGATGAACGACTACAATAAAATATACCAAGAATACAGTGTAACTATACATAATACAAAATAAACAAACCATAACTATTGGACGCTGTTTATGTTGTTATATGTTGTACGCTGCAAAACCTTACTCCCAAATACATTGGTGGAGTAAGCTTAAAAAGCCAACCACTAATATACGGTAAACTAAATTTGAATAATTTCACAAAGATTCTTTTAGACACATTTTAAACAGTCTGTGAGAAAACATAAGATGGGATGTTATGTTAAGGAAGAATATATGATGACAATCATACTATTTGTTTTTAGTTGATACAATTTAAAACGTTTCTTTTTACTGTATTCGGATTTGAATGTAAAATCATCATTAATACATTAAAATATGCAACTATATTTTTGTGTATTCTTTGGTTAGTGATTAGTGACAATAGTACCTACAAAGTAAGGAAGCCATTTTCATTATATTTCTGGTAAATAGTATTTATAGATAATATTCACCAAAAGCAAATAATTTCACAGTGATTTTTCAAAGGATTGAACCGCCTTCGAAAAGCGTCAAGTATTATTTTTCACAGTCTGAAATAGTAGTTATAAAATTGATTTTCTAAAAGCTTTTATATGTGTAACCTGAAAAATAAAAGATTTATATTGCTTCTTTCCTTAGGGTATAGTTTATTTTTTGCCTATTTAAAGTATACATATCATTTACTGAATTTGGAATCTTTTGTATAAAACATTATTAATCATATTCTTGCCATTCAATAGTTGACCGATTTTTCAGATCTAAACTTTTTTAGTTGAATTCCAGAGGCTATCGTTTGCATTGGTTGCAAGTTTTAAAATAATTTGATTCATCTTAATGTTTTTTTTTACTTTTTTTTAATATTTAGGGTTTATTTGTAAATTTATTTCGGATTTTAAAATTTTAAGCTCAAATTTTGCAAAAAAATAAGATTTTTTGATGGGAATTATATGTATTTCAAATCAAAATACAACATGTAAGTCTTTATCCTATTGAAAAAGTTGTCATCCATTTCTCTTGTCTGTGAACAAAAACTGTTTAATTAATGTAGTATGCTATGAAAAGCTTAGTCTAAGTTATCGTATACATTGGTGGAGTCAGTTGGTTGATTAAAAAACGGTATGCTTGTAAATGTATATATCTACATTTGCAATTAAAATTATTTTTTTTTATATTCTGAATAATTTTTAAAATCTGAAAGTAGTCCAATCAATCATTCTTGCCTTTAAAAGTATACTGAAATAAAGATTGGTATTAATTGATATGAAAGTTCTGTCCAGTATAAAAGATGTGGCAAAATAGAATTAATTATAGTATTACAGGTGTTTTTAACAATATAAAATGTTTAAAGCATTCATGTTGTTCATTTATGACGTTAATTTAATATTTATTAATACAAAACAACTCAAGCTCAAAATTCTGTTCAACTTTGTAAAAAAAAAATACATTTCTAAAAATAATTGGTTAAAGAAGGTTTTTAATTCCTTATATAAGAAATGCTTGTTTTTCATTTGCTGTAAATTTGTAAAGAAATGATTGTTTGTATTCTGTTTTCATTGAAATATTATGTTTTTTTAATCACAAAAGAAATGAAATGTAAAAAGTATTGTTCAGATGGGCTGATTTTATTGTTTCTGTTTTGTGAAAATTAAAAATGTATAAAATACAAAATATTCTTGAAGTTAACGTAAATCCGTGAAGTACAACGTACATGTACAGGACGTACGGTGGACATGTGTATGAGTCTATCCCATAGTGATGTTTTAGACCCCCAGTATATGAGTAGTTGCGAGGGATTATGGACTTAAGCTAAATGGTACTATAAACTGGGTTGCCATATAATTTATTTACATTGTTACCTTAAAAATAAAACAGCTCTTTTACTGTCTTCATAAAAAATAAGTGGTCTACTGATAGCCTTTATTTATTTCAGAATTTAAATAATATTGGTAGGCAGAGGTTGTATATTAATCCGTTATAAATTTATAATTTAAAAACTATATTGATGGGAATCTCTGATATTGAAAACTGTAATGGTATTTTGATGCTGTTTTGGGAAAATGCAGAAGTAAAGCTATTATTATTTGAATCTTCAAGAAATGAGTTCTAGTAAAATAAAGAAAATTATGATCTCAAAACCAAACTCATTCATACTAAACAAGACGAGTGGTTTTTGGTATTAAAAAATGTTATATAAATCTCATAAGGAACAATGGCAACCCTGTTATATATGATGAAAGTGACCTGCATTACCCTTATCATTATGGAATAAAAAGCTTATTATAAACACGTGATACTCGAGATGACACTAATCGATATTCGATATATTTCCAAGCATATCAGATACAAATATTACCCTAAAATAAATCTACAAAGAGTCTACAGTATAGGGAGTGTGTAAGGCATGGATGGAAAGTATACTATGAGAAAACATTCAATGTAAATGTCAACAGCTGAATTTACTTTATATTTTAGAAGTCATCAAGTAAAAAGTAACAAAATATAAAAATACTCTAAACACTATTTTTATACAATATTTAAGGAACTTTAAAGACGTCACAGGTACAATACATAACAACAAAATCTAAGTTCACGACTAACTTTTACTCGGTAGTGTGCTGGCAAATGTTATGCGCCAAGTCATGGTGAAGACATATACGGCTTGATCCCATATAGTACATATAGAAAATAGCACGATAGAGAACAATCACACATTCAACTAGAAAAAAATCGCAACAAAAATTGTCTAAAAATCGGACATCAAATCAACACGAAATATGAAATTCTCAACACTAAACGGTAGTAAAATAATTTTCAAAATACATGGACTAACCTAAGTTTTGTATATAGCTTACATAATTTTTGAAATAATAGCTCCTTAAAATAGTTTTGATTTTCAAATGCAACGAAGCAACTAAAGCAGGAACGTTTATTGGAGCGAGAGGCGCACTTGGTGCCTCCGACCCCCCGCCCCCTCCCGACCCGTACTCCTTTCGCCAACCGCGATAACTCCAAATAAATCTCCAACTCCAACTTGGGCAACATAGGATTTTGATTTGCGCAGTTAAAAATAACAATAAATCTTACTGCTGTAGCTTATATATTTACACCTAAACTTATATGTATAAATTAATCCACAATAGTAACCATACAATATTAATAAACACTTTTGTAGGAAATGAAACATTCGTAACTTTGATCTTTTTGCGAGAGGATTGAAAACCTCCAAAAGTACAATCCACGACAAACCTATAAAACAACGAATCAAGATATGACGGAATAAGAATACAAACAATTGTAGATGTAAACAATTCAAATTATGTAATAAAAAATAATCTGACAAATGAGACTGGAGCCGTTAGCTTGTTAGCTTAGAGAGCGGACTAGAAGGTACTTGCTGACCCAAACACCAACATGCCTCTCAACATAACAAAGGCAACAACAAACTATAGTATCCTGGTCCAACAAAATCTACAAAACATATTACCAGGTTTACTAACAACAACAAATTGGGAGCAAGCGCCTTTACAATAGGTTTGTCCGGGCTGCACATTCATACTATATACTACTCTCGTAACATTTCTCAAGGTAGACTGTTGAAAATTAAACTACAGCCAAAATAAGTATGCAAAAAGGGGCAATAAATTTCATTTTGTACAAACATTTTCCCTAAAATAGAACGCAGCGGAAAGCGAATATGGGAACGAAAGTTGATAATCACGCTCCAGTGATTTTAGACTACTTCCTTTTTATAAACACAAAATGAAAACGATAAACTCGTGTTTGATATTGTCTGTAATTGGTGAGCTATTGTACTGTATGCATGACCCTGAGACGCTAAGGACAGCTAGGAAGTCTTCTTCATCATGGAAACTATGCACATTGAGCACAACGGACTTGTGTGGCACAACACAAATGGCTCTCAGAGTATCAAGGCTCAATAGGAACTTTTGTAAATATCACTGATGATTCTAAATGTAACGAAGAATTTGACCTCGGCACTCAAAGAATCACAAAATAATGACTCAGTCTTGTATACATGTAACTATTGTGCCGTATAATTTACTTACACTTGACATTACAAGGCATCATTCAAATTTAGGAGTTGAGAAAACACTGACAAAGTGTACTAGTAGGGAAAATAAATATACCGCGCGACATAAGCCAAAACAAAATATAGATATTTTGAAGCTTTTTAAAAATTACTAACGTTTATAAATACTTTATTTTGGGCTACAATATAGTATATAATATATTGTCTAGCGTTCACTTTGCCAGTGTAGTCTCGCTTGAAGCTATTAACAGCCACACTCTCAACCATACTTTCTTATTCTCCGAAAAGTTCCTCTTCTTCCATATTTCATCACAGATGTAGCTTCATCTTACAATATTTCACAATTAATATTTTCCCGCGATCGAAACTGGAGAAAGTATTATTGCTATGGTCTTTACTCTTATCCTTTTTTTCACTGAATCACACAATTCTTCGATATCACTCCATAACACTCACTCTAAGAAAATAAACCAAAAATAGACTAATCTATTTCCTAGTTGTGTTTAAATTATCTTACATTCACGTGGGCGTGAGTTTGAATGATGCTGTCACAGACTTTTTCAATTTTTCTTTAACAGGCAGAAATACAAGAGAAGATAGGAACGTTTTACCTGATTTAGGATCAATCGAACTGTTCAAATCACTAGCATACTCTGAATCTTCAAGCACGAAGGGCTGCATGGTGACCTGTTCTTGAACTTGAGGAAGTGCTACAACGGCGGGGATCCCTGCGTTAGCTGCGAGGTTAGATAGTACCTTTTCTACTAGTTGGAGATGAGATGGAAGATCTTGATCCATTTGCTGAAACGGGTGATCTTTAGTCAAGTGGTCCAAGTAGGTCTGCACACTCCCTGTCTTGAATCCACACCGTGTACAATGCAGTGAAGAATCAGCCATTTGTTCATCTGCTTGATTGCTGGGCAGGGATATTGATTTTGAGTTGTTCGGAGGTAAGACATTTGAAGCGCTAGAAGTACCACTCATCTCTTGATCTTGTCGTGTGATTCTGTCTTGAAGAGTTGTGAAATCACTCTTGGTTTCAGATTGTTCGCTTTGTGCCTTCTGGAGTTCTTGGGAAGAAGTACTTGATTGAAAAGGTTGTTGCCAAGGCATTTTATGTAACTTCATATGCTTTTCAAAGTTCTCTTTGGAATTTGAGTTTTGAAAACAAATTGGACACTGAAATTGCTGATCTCCAACTGATTGAAAAGTTTGGTTGTTCATGTGTGTCCTTTCATGGATAAATAAAAATGCAAGAATTGTAGTGGTGAATGAACAATATGAACACTGGTATTGTTTTGATTCAGAATCCTTCCCATTCATGATCATGGAAAACATGGTATTGTTAAACATGTTTTTGTCAACTAAGCCTTGTTTATCTGGGGTATCTTTTCCATTTTGGTTAACTTCCCCACTTGTGAACATGTTGCTTGACTGGTTTTGTGTACTTGTAAACATTGCAGGAAACTCTCCAGCTTTCCCTGCACCCTCAAATTGATTTCCCTTTGATTCTGAACTAGAGGAAAGAAATACTTCTTTCCATTTTTCCTTCCCTTCCTCACCATGATCATTCCAAAGATGCGCTTTTAACCATTTTACACTTCTAAATCTACGACTACAAATAGTGCAAACTTCTGTAAAATGTGAGAAGTAACGGTGTGTTAGATCAGCTTGATCCATAGGTTTTAGGGCTGGATCTGAATTTGGAGGTGAATTTGAATTAAAATCCATACCTAATTGAGGAAGAAACAGTTCATCAAAAATACCATGTGAGTTTTGTTTGTGGACACGCAAAAAATATTTACTGCATAACTCCTTGTTACAAATGTCACAGACCACACCACCAATCTGAGAGCCATTTTCTATGGATATACCATGCATCCGTTGCATATGTGTCTTCATGAAGTACTTGTTACAAAGCTCTTTTTTGCAAATTTCACAGAAGCTACTAGTAGGTGTTTGGATACCAGGTCTCTCCTCTGACTGTTGGGGTATGAAGGGTACTAATTTGGTACAGCTGTTTTCGTTGAACTCCATTGGTCCCTTGATCGTTTGAGAATCAGGAAGATGTTCTACTTCAGAGTGAACTTCATGAATGTGTTGCTCTAATAAGGAGCTCTTAAAAAAAGTCTTTTGACAATGAGGGCACTCTTTTTTTAAATTGTAAATAGATCCAATCAAAGATCCCTGAGAACTTGAATTTTCTTCCTCGGTAAAGTTACCCATTTCTTCTAACAGCGAGGCATGTTCTTTCAGAATGTGGCTTTCTAATAAGGAAACGTGTCCAACATCTCTTTCACAAACATCACACAAGGAACTTTCATTGGTGTTATGATTGTTCAAACGAGATATCAATGTTTGAAGCTTTTGCAAGTTTTCAGGATTTACAGCCTGTTTGTGGTCGTTATCGTCTGTTTCCTTTGTGTATTCTGATTTTATAACCATTGAATTATGTTCTGGATATTGTTTTTGGAATCTTTCACTTTCAGTGGTATCCTTATCAAACGGTGAAATATTATGTTTGACTGCTGCAGAGACAGCTTCATTTGGAGGAAAACTATTTGAATGAGTGTACGCCTGATGCATTTTTAGTAAAAATTGACTCTGAAAGTATCGACCACAGACTCCACACACACATTCTTCACCATCCACATCATAACTGCCTTTGTTTGTTACATCTTTGTTGGATGAAGACTCGTTTACAATCAAATTTAGAGGGGCTGCTTGATTTTGATACCAGAAGTTGTTTGCTGTTGTGCCATTTACCATGTCCTCTTTTTTTTCTTCGACAGGTGGAATACCATGACTCTTAAGCTTGTGAGTTCTAAGGAAGTATTTGTTACAATACTCTTTGCAACAAATGTCACAAAACGCATCTGCATTTACCACACCGAGTTTTTTCATTCGAATGGAAGAAAGGGAATTTTCTTTATTATTTTCTTCGTTTTGAGGAACTTGGAAAAATGAAATAGAATCAGACGATATTGGAATTGGAATTTGGATTTCACTTTCGGCTTCTTTTTCTTGTTTTTCTTTGGGTTTTTCTAAATTTATCTCAACTTTAGGGGGTAATTCCTGCTTTTCTATCTTAAAATTTGGAATCTGAAACTGTTTACTATAACTACTATTATATACCTCCATTTCTGTTGTAGAAATATCGGGTTTGTCTTGAGAAGAATTATTGTTGCCGAGGTTGTAATCTTGCATGTCCAGTGTACTATCTTTTGAAGCGGGTTCAACTATACCATGTATTTTCAGTTTGTGTCTTCGCACAAAATATTTATTACAAAATTCTCTCTGGCAGATGTTGCAAAGGGCTCTCATATTCCCACTTGAATTAGACTTAAGGGAAAACAAACTTGATTGTTGAGGTTGAGTACCCTGAGTCTTTTTTACAACTGTACGATTTGTTGAATAACTGTTTTGGCTGAGTAGGTTTTTAGCTGCTTGAAAATTAGATGGGTTTTCAAAAGACTCATTATTTATTGAAAAATAGTTTGTAAAAGGTAACAGAAGTAAAGGATCAATAGGCGTTGGTCCGGAGGTGTTTTCTGTGTATATACCATGCTTGTTTGCCTTGTGAGTTTTAAGAAAGTATTTGTTACAAAACTCTTTATTACATAAGTCACAAAAAGCTTCCGGGTTGAAAATTCTTATTTGGGAAGATCCTTGTGGAATTTGACCAGGAATTTGATTTTGCCTTATCAGAGGTAAAAGAAGTGAAGGTGATTGAGATAAATAAGAGTTCCCCTCTTGTGTAACTGAGTTTTTAACCTCTTGTGTCAAGGACTGGAACTGTTGAGTCTGATCTTTGTTGGCCACATTTTGACTGTCACTAACAGAAGGGACAATCAGAGTATCCGAGGTCGTGGACTTGATGCTTGACAAATTAAGAGGAAGTATGGGTTCATAATTCTTATCAGATGATGTATTCTTCTCCTGATTGTCATCATAAGTTTCCTTTGGTTCTTGGTTGATTTGACTGAGATCTTCATAGTCATCGGTTGAAGGACTAGCTTCACTGTTGACCTGAGGTAATCCTTCGCTTAGAAAATGTTCTCCAGTGACGGAAAAGTCAAGAACACTAATTCTCTGCTCAGTAGGGTGAAAATCTGGCTTGTTGTCAGAGGCTATGTCATTTGCTGTAATCCTGATGGGTTTTGACTGCTTTCTTCTCTTTTTTACGTAGTTTCTGTCTTGATCTTCATCCCCATCAGAGTGTGACCGTTTGTTACCATCCTCTCTGGAACCAGGGAAGGACTCTAAACTAGCCTCCATTCCCATCATGATCATGTCACCCAGCTGAGAACAGGGACTGAACGCAGTCATTTGGACAAGAGCTGACGCCATCAATTATCTTCTTTAATTGTCTTCAACTAAGTTTCATCTACTGCAACAACCTAAAACAAAAAGAAAGTAAAACATGTCATTAGTTTAAATTACAGTAAGCCAGATACTGTTGACAAATGAAATTGAAAAAATAAAAAGGAGGCCCTATGCATTTATTTTACAGGAATACACAGTGATATAATCAACTAGATGTGTTGAAATTGAATGGTTCAGCTAATCTCTATCGAGGAAATAATTTTCCACGGAAAATGCTGTAATTTATTGTTATAAATCATCATATCGTTCCGAGAATTCATTATCAATTAGTTTTTTATATGTTTGCGAAAACATAAAAAAAAATAATAAAACACAAAAAAATAATACATTTTTAAATGTTTTTAAAAATGATTTTTGTAATCAATAAGGATACTTTGGCAATATTTCTCATATAAATATATGGATTTCTACACCCTTAGCAATATGGGAGTGCCCCTTAGCTTAGCATAAATTGATAAGGGTATATATATATATTATTACTACTAACAACAATGAAAATATTTCTTTATACTGAAACACTAGTCAAAAGAATGTTGGTCAATAATGTTAATTGATTGAAATTACATAAGATGGGAGTTTCAATAAAAACACTATGGTTATTATTTATAGAATACATTTATACAGGTTTATACGAGGGTAATGAAAGTACTACGATTCTGGCTCAATTTAACTTTATTTTAGTTATTTAATTAATAATTGACCAACCTTCAATCTTCTGTCAACAGACTAACTCAGTCCATAGTTAATCAATAATAAAATACAGTACATAATGGTTACCATCTCTTCCTTCTATTTGCCTTATCTAGATAAACATTATTAATGTGAGTGAAAGTGACACAAGTCGGTTAAAATTAAAGCCACATTTAAACATTAAATATTTACCTTAAGACAAATTTCTTGGTTATAGAGAGCTACTTTTTTTGCTGCATGTTTCTAGTTGTATAGAAAGTTCTCAAATTGATGCCGATAGTTACCGTACAGTATTAAACATTAAAACTATAAATATAAACAAATTATGATGTAATATTTAACCAAATGAAATAAGAATACAAAATAAAACAACATAATTTGGGATTGCTAAGGAAATGGCCTTATACTTATTTCATTTCCTTACTGCCCAACTTACCATAGTTTAAGTTTTAAGTTTGGGCATTTTGAGGGAAGAAAATTTTGATCTTTAGCTAGAAAAAAAACATGAAATACTAAAATAATACGGACTTGTTGTTTTAAACATTTAATTTGGAATAAACATAATCACAACACATTAGAAACAACAAAAAACAAATATTTTTGAAATCCAAGAAGAGTATTGGTTGTATGTATCTAAAAACAAAAAACAAATAAACATTTGATTTACAGTATTTACAAAAATTCTATAATTATTGTCTCTTTTAAAACCGTAGTACCTTTTTTTATTGTAGAAGCTATGTAATATATATTAATAAAATAAAATTACATATTTCTCTATGACATAGTCTACCCCAAAGCTACTGCAAAACATTAGATTTAGGGAATATAATTGGTTTTACCAATTTTAATATTTTATGTTACTTCAATCAATTTATGCATGGGGATTCGTTAATTACTCTTATATAAACAAAATGATCATTTTTTACAAGCTTGTTATATTTATTATATTTTTCATATAGGTGTACTTACGTGACTATTAACTGTACTTACTTGGTGGCATGGTGACAGATAGGTTGTCAAGTTGTTGGTCTTGGGTCTGAAATCAGAAAAAAAAACAAATAAACTTAGACTACATATAAGAGATTGAATTCACGAATTTTATACTACTTTAAGGTTCCAAATTTTAAGGGGGGTAAAAACGTGTCACAATTAAATAAATACCAGAACGTTCCCGTTTTTCATCTACAATAGCCTACTCGTAGGCCTATGTGTTGTCCATAGCTTTGGCTATGGGCCAAAGAACGTAGGCCTAGTTTTAATCACAGTGAAGAATATACACACACTCACACGTCATATTTATCAGTAATAGCACTCCACTTCATCAAATAAAGTTAAACCGACCGATTTTACCAATATTTAACGCCGACGATGACACAACCTAACCTAAAGACTGGTGTTTGTTGTCAGACGGCAGACGAAGACTAGCCCTAGGAGGATTAAAAAATTACAATAAGTCTGTTCGCTTAACGAATAATAATACATTAGTTTGGTTAGTTAATCTTTTTGACACCCCGAGACTCGTCTGATTTCCAAACCCCGTCTTTGGCGGGTGAAAGAATCAAGTCTTGGGAGTGGTCCGATTTGAACAAAGGGTTGATAGTATTAAATTTAAACAATAATATTGTTTAAATTAATGCAGCGTCATATTATGACGCTCAATTCTTCGTTTAAATATTAATTAGGCCCCGACGACTCTGTAGGGATTTTTACACTATATTTTGTGTATTCAATCGCCGCACGTTCATTATATTACCAGACCTTTAGTAACGAGTTTAAAGTTTAATACGAGTATTTTATCGCATTGGCCAGGATAGAATAATCGCCTGCACTACAGAGTAAATCTAAAAGTTAGGCAAAATTATCTAAAACACTCTAACGAAGGTGGGGATGAAATAGCTCCTACTGAGCGTCTGCAGGATTTCATGAGCACTTCTAGAGCTCTGAACCTTCGATTTAATTTAATAAATTGACCAGTCAAAGCCGTGAACAACTTCGTATCGACCCCTGGATTTTTCTCGGCTCCTTCTGAGCACTCCGGGGAAGAAATTTGAATGTGGCTGGTTCTAGGGGTAAGCCTAGCCTGACTTTGTGAATACCAGTTTTTCCCCCTTCCTTGAACTTTACGTCACACTACCTACAATTTGGATAAGATCAGTAAAATGCGTCATTTAATTAATTACATAAGATTATTGTTCTGAACGACTTTTTGATTATTGTACTGCAATTATAGAATTTTTGAGGAGAATCAAGTAAGCAGTGAGCCTACAGGCCTAGTAATGATGGAGGGAACTAGTGAGGGTGCTAATTTATTGATTGGGGATCAACTAGGGTTTGCACAAAATATAGAGTCTATGTGGGGAGAGGCCGCACCCCACAAGTGCTGTCTTTCAGTGTACTCTGTTCGCTCACGCCACGTCAATGTATCCGTGTACATCAACGCACCCGATATGCCAATGCAACCAAGTACCAACGCACCCGAATTCGGCAATTCTACTCGTCAGGAAGTGTGCGGTGCAGTATGAACGATAAAAACAAGAACAATAGGCCTACATGGCGAATGTATTCTTGATTTTGATAAATTGTGATAACGAAATATATGGGACATGAGTTGTATCATTGACTATATAACACTGCACTGTGTTATATAGTTAATGGTGAAACATTATAAATATCTAAAGACTCCTAAGTTTGTTATCCAACTTAATTAATGTAGATCGAACGTTCATGACATCTCAAACTGTTTACGCAGTTTTACTCTCATACTTTTATAATCACTTTCTACCATACATGTGTGTATTGTATTGTATATGTGTATTGTGTTTACATTGTACCTATAAACAGTACACTGTTGTCTCTACAATGTATCTCTATTTGTGTGGTGCGTGATTGCCTTTGTGACGCAAAATTCTAGGGGGGAATAAACTAGTATTCACCAAGTCAGGCTAGGCCTACCCCTAGAACCGGCCACACTCAAATTTCTTCCCCGGAGTGCTCAGAAGGAGCCGAGAAAAATCCAGGGGTCGATACGAAGTTGTCACGGCTTTGACTGATCAATTTATTAAAATTTAATCGAAGGCTCAGAGCTCTAGAAGCGCTCAGGAAATCCTGCAGACGCCCAGTTGGAGCTATATCATCCCAGCCTTCGTAAAAGTGTTTTGGAGAATTTTGCCTAGCTTTTAGAATGACTCTGTAGGGCCGAAGAGGATCCAATCTTAAGCCAATTTGATATAAATACTCGTAATGAACTGTAAAATAATAAACTAAAGCCACTAGCAGAATAAATAAAAGTGCGACAATCGGATGAACACAATCCAGAATAAAAATCCCTACAGAGTCGTCAGGGCCAAATTAACACAATTGAACGGAGAATTTATCGTGAAATTGTTTTAAATAAATTTAATACTAATATTCGTGGCTGATTGTTCAAATCAGACTACTCCCAAGACTAGGTTCTCTCGCCCACCAAAGACGGGGTTTAGAACTCATACGACAAGTCTCGGGGTATTAAAACGGTGAATTAATTACTTGAACAAATAAGCTACGCAATACTTATTTGTCGGACGGACGGGTTAATAGAAATTTCGTGTCTAACAATTAAACTGAACTATAGCCACCGCTAGTAACTGACCGGCAGGAACTGGCGGGTCTAAACTCAAGTCGGTGGATTCGAAGTGATTAAATTTAGTTATTTAAGATCTAATTTTGGAACGAAAATGCGTAGATTAAAAGGAAAAGATTTTCGTAAAACGTGAAAGTAAGATTGACTAATATATCTAACCTTCCGATTACCGGCGGGTAGGTCGTAGACGTATCGTAAGCGCCCGAGACGTTGTTAACTTTCCGGCAGTAGTTGACGAACGAATGGAAGTAAAATCCTTCAATTCAGTCCGCTCGAGGCTCCACTCATGCGGCAAACTTAGATACTAATAGACAACAGCTGATCGAAATTCACCTGTTGAGCCGGTCTAGTGGTCGTCTATCGTTGGTCAACAAACACCAATTCGAGGTTAGGTCATGTTGTCATCGGCGTTAAATATCTGTAAAGTCGGCTGGTTTAACTTAATTTGGTGAAATGGAGTGCTAATATGAACCAATAAGTATTGTGAACGTAAATATATACTTAGCTGTGATTAAAAATGGGCCTACGTTCTTTGGCTCATAGCCGAAGCTGGGGCCAACACATATGCCTAGGAGTAGGCTATTGTGGATGAAAACTGGTAAGTTATGGTGTTTGTTGATTAGCAGTACGTTTTTACCCCCCTTAAAATTTGGTACCTTATACCTTTTATAATAAACTGTTTGCATATTTTCATTCTTAATCATTCATTTTCCACTACCCATTTTTATGGCATGCGATTCCCGTTTTTATAAATTGCTTATCAAGCTCTTATAACCGAACTGCGTAGAGAATGTATACTAAACCATATTGTTACCCCCTTCAATGTTGTTATATTGAATGTTTTTAATAGTTATAGTTCTTAAAAATTAACGTCACTCCATTTACGTGGTCACAACTATAAAACAAACTTGTAAAAAAAAGTAAAACGCATAAAAACGTATTTACTGACCCACCTTTTATTTCGTAACAATATAGAACTCAATCTCCAATAAAACAATGTTAAAATAAAGTTAATTGTTATTTGTAATTACAAATCATTACAATCTATTTCGCTTAAGGTTCGCGTTATTATAGGTTTAAAAACTCGCCTGCCTCTAAATTATTAGTTTTCAGCCCTCGATGGCATTAGAGGGTTGAAGTATAATGTGATCAATGGAATCGTTGGAATTGGACGCGGTTTCACGATTAAGAAGAGAATAAACGGCACGAAGCTATGAAGAAGTCGGGATGTTATTAATGCATCCCAGCCTTTGAAGCCCGATATTGCTGAATATTGGTCCGATCAAACGGATGTTAACGCTGTTTAAACAACCAATAAACGTTATGGAAAATCTTACAAGTAAACCAATAACTTCAGACTTTTATCTTGCTTGAAGAAATTGATCACGAGAAAAAACTAAAGGATCGCAAGTTTTGACGATCGCTATTAAGAGTGACGAAGTTGTCGGCGTTTTGTTTTGAAACATTATAATTTGTATTTAATTCTAAATTTTTAAACTAGTAAATTAAGCATTATAACTTTTTTACATAGGCTATAATTCTATAAGTATCTTGTTTGTGTTTAGGTTAGATTTTCCCATTAAATTTCCCAAGTTAAGGACTACTCATGAAAATCCTGTTGACTCATACTTGGTCAGTACACTCTTCTATAACGTGACTAAACCCTGATTATTTTAGAATGAATGAAAATCGTCAATATAGTACATATATAAAAACACCATCAGATTAAATTATCTTATCTAGGGAATGAGAGATATTGTTTCTGGTAATAGCATTAGAATAGCTTATTTTGGGATTTAAGAGGTAATACAACTTAGTCTCTTCCTTTGGGCCATTCTCAACAAGTTTAAGTTGAATTTATCCAAAAAAGATTTATTCGTAGCCTTTGCAGAACCAATGTCGTCCGTTGTCATCAAACCTCAAATATTATTTTAAGAACGTGCTCCTTGAGAAGGATACCTGATATACACATAAGAGAAGATGAGATTTATGTCCAAAAGCACAGACTACTATCTCACACATTTAATTGTAAGCAATTCATGTTATTATTTCCTCTTTCCTACGAATAAACTTAGCTCATAGAGTAGATCACGAATTATACTTGTGTTAAGTTGCTGTTTGTGTGGGCACGTCTTATCAAGGTGTGTGCTTGCAAGGGGTTAAGTGACAATTTAAGCTACAATTTTAAATTACACTTCATAAAAAATTTAGTTTGTTGGAAACAACAACGTTGAGACCTTTAATTTATTTAAGATCAGGTAAAACATAAGAGTCTACTACAACACGAAAAAACTGTTTGTTATTAATGAGTGACTCTAATAACGATTCTGCATCATTGCATCAAATTTCATCGGCCTTCTCCGGTGGATTACTTACAACTATGAAACGGAGACATTCGTTTTCAACC